TAAGTATCACTGACAGAGCCTTTGGACGACCAAGCGACTTTCCAAAGCATCTAGCCTCATACTCCTATGTTTACAGAAGGCACCCTCATGCATCCCATACTCGTATACGCGAAATTTTGATACACCTTGAATATGAACAAAAGGAGAGACAAGAAACTTCTTTGAGTCTCAATAAGAGTGGTACACGTCAGTCTGCAACACAATGAAGATTGGGGGACATTCTTATTGTTTTCATAGAAGAACCATGAGTCTATAGGGTTCACAGTTATGAAATTGGTCTAGTGAAATCTAGACGGATTTAATTCATAACAGATCCTCAAAGATACCGGGACAATATATAATTGGAAACCTCTATCTGAGGGACTTCATGGCTCAAAATAAAACCAAGTCGTCAATGAGAACGAGACATTAACCAACTAGAAATGTGGAAGAATTGAAGGGGACGTATCATACCTCGCAATTAACTATGATGCCAATGCACACCACGTGAAGCACAGAAAGCACTGAAACTGAAAGAAGTGAGCATATACTAACTGTGTGTAATATGTTTTTGATATTTATCAACATAACTCACGAAAAATAATCTGGGAAGCTTAAGGCAGAACCGAATTGCTTCGATTTGATGGGTTTTGAAACAAAAGATTCGATTGACTTACAGATCGATTACAGGTAGTTATCATCTCTACGTACCATGAACATGGTTCCAAAGTCATCCAGAGACCAAATAAGAATAATCTCTAGATGACCTTCAAACCAGAAAAACTCCTAAAAATGAAAGGAAATCATGTGCAGAATACCAATATACCAGAATACCAATACAGAATGTCAGAAGTTGAAAAAAACCCAGAGTATTGGGAAGCTACTCTGGGTGTCCTTTCTCGGGTGAAAAATCACAAATCGGCGTTAAGGGACGCCTGACGTGGCAAAGAAAATGGTAGATTTCGAGAACAGTAAGTAAGCAATAAGTAACTGGATTTAGATGGCAATCATCCAATGATGCTGCAAAAAGAACTAGAATGTCTATTTTAAAAACCTATGAAATGGAGACTAGTTAGTGATAAATTTTTTGAGAAGCCAGGGAAAACGAGAGAAAATTGGAGAATATACATTATTCTTGTGTAGGCAATCCTGCAATGAGTAAAGACTATTACTTTTAGAAATGGAACCATTTAAGATGCAACATAAGCCGTTTGAGAAGTTAGGATAGGTTCTTCGAAGATTGCAGCTGCTCACCTCACTCTTTTACACACACACGGGGGAACAAATGACGAACATGGTTCGTGCGAACCAAGTTCAGCGAACCAGGTTCCCATGTGTGTAGGCCGCTTCAGGCATAGATGATGAAACATTTCCCAACATGCCCCCCTACTAAACCGTAATCGCTCCGCGCATCTGCGTTTTCCTTCTCTATCTAAACATCAATTTGGAGCTACAGCTGATGTTTCGGCTGCTCTCTGGTGTTGATTCGCGCACGCGCTCCGCGCGTCTCCCATGTAATCAAGTGAAAAATCGCGTCAAGTGCAATCGAGCACGACAAGATTTGCGGTGGTATGGATGACTCTATTAAGTTTATGAGTTTACGGATTTTTCATGTCGAAATTACTGTTGCGAAGTTAATCGCCTCGGTCGCCTAATGGAATGTGCCGGAGCGGATTGGATGGAAAACGACGATTGGTCGTTTTCGATGAGGGAAAAATGTGCCGCAAAGTTCCGAATTTCAAAAGGAGAAGTTGCGTTCTCATATTCATTCGCCAGTAGGGAAGATATGAATATTACTGATATAAAATTTCCCTCACAAGAAAAGCTTTCAATCAAAAGAAGTGTCAGGTGTTCTTAAACTCTCCAATTTTTGACATAGGAACAAGTCTGTCCTGTTACAATGACAATGTGTAACATCACATACAGGTTATTTAATCCCAGTCACAGGAATAATAATTATATCACCAGAAAAATTGTAAATGCTGATTCCTGTAACGCACTCATCTCCTATTTAAAAATTTTAGATAGACAGACAGATAGATATTTAGTAGTGAATAGTTAAGCACATCCACTATCCATAAATATAATGCACCTTACCAAGCAGAGGAAATAAAGAACCTCAAAATGAAAAACATTTCAATAATCTTAAAATCTAAAAAAAATATTATTGATCATCTGTAACATATGTAGGTATTCTAGATTCGCAAAAACAATATGAACTAATACTATAGATATTATTGTATGTAAAAATATGTTTTAGTCTTTATAAAGTAATATGGATAACTGCGGTTTAGCGGGAGTTGACCGTTTTTCTAGCTTGATTAAATGTTTCCATACGTTGCTTATCTCTACGCTAGTTTGGCTGAATGCATGGTTGGACAAGATATATGCGGCTTCTTTGAACTTCCTCTTGAACCACTGTTCAGGCCTGTGGATGACCTCATATTGGGACCACTTGATGCTATTTTGATGTTGTGTTAGTTGGTAGTGTAAACAATATTTAATTTCATACGTTTGTTATAGCAGATGTTTCATGTATTGACTTTTGAAAGATATATAATTTTATGGCTGTTTGTATAAAAAGACTTGAAATAATCCGTTATATTTCCACGATCCACCACTTCAAATAAATCATCCGATATATCTTCAGTAACGCAGTGGCATATAGCAGAAGCCAGATTAGTTCTTCAGCAAAATGATATACCAATCAAAATGACGTTTAATCTGTATATTCATTATTTTCTCTATCTTGGAACAAACAAATGTGTAACTTATTGTATGAAGAAAATATGTTGCAATTGAATTACTGGCGATAGAGGATAATGTGATGTGGAGGAGAGGATAAACGACCTTTGGATCCAGCATTAAAACTGTACACGTAGGAATTAATAAGTATTACATAGGTATGGTGGACAACTATTCTTTAAAATCATATGAGAAAAATGTTGCGGTGTGCAGAGTTTCTCTGCACTTCATTGACAATCATTGATATCATCTGCTAGTTTGTAAAAGATTCGCTCAAATTCACGAATTCCATTTTGTAAATTTTTTCTCTGACATATATCTTCTTTATGTAGACACAGATCAAACACGGGCTCACAGCATGAAAGTTTTATGTCTGATTGTATAAAACGCCTTGGAATAAATAATACGTTGTGTATAGCGTTGTATATAGTGGTATATGGCGGAAGCAAGATTGGTTCTTCAGCAAAATACTATATCAATCGAAATGACGTTTAATATGGCATTTTATTATTTTTTCTATCTTGGAACAAACTGGTGATGAACTTATGGGTCGAAGATCGTTAACAGAAGTTGGGTTAGATAATTTGGGAGGAGGTATAATTCTGGAAGTTTTGCACGAATCTGGAAACCTATTATTCTTCAAGCGAAAATTCAGAATATGAGTCAAAGATTGAATAATCAAATATTAGTACTGTCCGAATCTTTCGCTTTTGATTTCACTCCTAAGATATACTTGTAATAAGTTACGTTATCACAAGCCACAATAAACCCTGATGGGTTGCGGTGGAAGGTCGAATAGACCGACTCACTTTAGACCTACGTTATCACAGATTCGAATTCTAGGTTACTCTTCTAATTATTTACATAAAACGCTAGGAATGGAATGAATTTCTTATCAGACTATTCCAAAAAGTGCTGTTTTGATATCAGAAAAATCATTCATTGCAAGAACATATATTCGAATCACATTTTTTTTTCGTAACGCCTTACTGTTATTATTGTCTATGCAATGCTCCTAATATGCTTTTTTCATTGCTTAACATTATATTGGTTTGATTTCTCAAGGATTCGTAATAGTACCAATTCAATTTTTTTTAGAATTTTATCTCTCAATGAAATGATAAGCTTCAGATCTACACCAAACCAGGAATTTTGATGTTTTTTTTTTAGCTCAACAACCTTTTATGGTGCCCATGTGACAAAAATGAAAACGATTGCAGTAATAAAATATTCAATCTTCTTATTTATCTCTGGAATACTGAATATATACTCGAATGGAGGAGATAGGAGTTACAAATGATGCAGAAGGTCCCTATCTATGAAAATATCTGAATGAAGTGTCCTTCTTTCTTCCAATGACTTATTGACAAAAAAAGGGGTTTTATAAAATACTCAGGAATTACTTGGATCATTTCAGTTCTTATATCGTCCAATCCCAGAGATTTTTATTTTAAAGTACTGATATAATATGATACTAAATATCTCACCTAAAAGACATGGTAGAAAAAATTGAACTACCGAAAATATTTTTGTTTTCGGAATATTATTGATTTTTCTAATTTTTCCACCAGTCGTTTCGCGATGGAAACAAAATAGTACCTATTTGTATCGTAATAGTACAAATAATAGTGAAGTAGTCTCCTGTAGAAACCAACTTAATTGGTGGAACGTGAGCCGAGAAAAATGTTGTACTTCTGGTGTTTGAGAACAGTGCATATTTTGTCCTCAATGTTGGAAAATACCCCTGGTGTTCTCCAAAAAGTGAAGGGCGCACCAGAATCATCAACCAATGACCACTTTTCATTCCACGAGGTAAATGATCATTACGTCCAAAAATTATGTGCCCTAAGCAGGCGCATAGGGCCTATTATTATTATTTTTCTGAAGGCTAGGCTAGTCTGGCCCAGTGGAAGCCCCGATACATTCGGAAGGGCGCGACAGCATCATTAACCAATGACTACTCCCCACACGGTGGAGTAATTAATCATTTATCCGGCCAAGATTTCTGCCTAAGAGCGGCAAGCCGTGAGAGTGGAGAGGGTATCATTCCACCAAGGACTCATTATAATAATAATGATTATTATTATTAAGGAAAAGGATTTGCGAGGAGTATGTCGAGATTCTAACTGTGAACATCATCCCGAACAGGTTCCTGTTATTCTAATCGAAACATCCAGGCAAATGGCTCCCTCTACAACACACAATCGAAGTTGGTGGTGGAAACATCCTGCGCTTGCTTCGAAAAGCTTTTCAAAGCGAAGCTGCGAAAGCTGGAGGCGTCACGCCAACGGAGTTTCCGATTTTCAGTAGAGAACGCGACGCTCACCTGGAACGATGGCTTTGCACTGGACGCCGATCGTCGTTTTCGCGGCGCTCATACATTTTTCAGCGTCTAGAGCGGTGAGTGACTCAGATTTATAGCTATTTTGCTTTTGTTTTGAAAATTTTCGCAATTGATAAAAATATTGTATGTTTTATGGGTAGAAAATTATTTGAATTCCTATTTTGTTCTTATCATTTTATCAGTGGAAGGCGCGTCCTAGAATGCGGTTCGCTTTGTAAAACAAATATTACAGGCTGGGAAAAAGTGGTATGAATTAATTAAAAACTAATCAATACTTTCTGAAAAGTTCCAAAACTTTTTTCTACGGTTTCAAATTAGACCACTCCAGAAACCAAACTCTCAGGTGGAAATGGTTATTTGAAAAACCTGCTCCTTTGCTCCTTAAGAAGGTCTCAATCTAAAATGGAACTTTCATCTATTATTATGTAACTTTTCCAAGGCGTTGCTTTTGAAAAAAAAATTATTATGGTACTATAATATTTTTTTTAATTATTATCATATCTTATCTCACAGATAAATATCAACCCCTATCTTGCAATAAAAACATTTCACACTTCAAATCCGTAGACTTCCTCAGGGAATCATCCACGGGCCCTTACTTTCTATCATTCATTTCAACCATTTCTGTAATTTCTTTGAACCACCTTAAAGATCAAAAGTTTTCAGCTGACAGATTGAAATAATTAAAAAATGCTGTTGTTCCTACTCTATCTCTAATTCTCTGGTGTATTTCAAAAACCAAATTCAATATCAGTCATGATTGACATTACTGTCATTTTTTTGTCTTTCTATCTATTTTTTGTTGATTTTCAACTATTCAACGCCTTCATAAGCAGGGCCGTCCCAAGGGGGGAAGAGGGAGCCCCCCTGCTTTTTCGACTTGGGAAAAAGTTGGGAAATTTTGGGCCGTGAAGATAGAAAAAATAATAGTAGAAAACAATAAGAACAATATTATTTAAGTGTTGTTTCCTTTCATTTGTATTGAATATTTCTATACATGGTGGATATGGTGGAAGAACAAGGACCTTGGTCCAAAGTAGAATAATTCCCATTATTATTTTTATGATTACCAAAATTTATTTTTGTTTTTGCATACCCTAACGGGCATATAAGCATTCAGCCAATCTTTGGATAGCTAAGTAAGAAAATTAATATATTATAGTAGTAGCTAATCCCTTGGCTTCCATTTTTTCGAAAGTTGGGAAATTTTGCTGGTGGGGATGGGAAAATTTGGATTTCCTACCCCCTCTAATTTTTCTTTTCGCTACGGCCCTGTTCATAAGTAAAGATTTATTTACTGACAAAAAAAATTTAAAAATTCATACTCAGTTAAATAAACGCAATGTTTCCATATTTCGGTTCTATCATAAAAAATCAGGTGATTTAGATCTGCCAACCCTTCGTAGCCATACTATAAACCTCCTCTACTAATCCATTGATAGGCAACAATATATACAAATATTCATCATTTGACCATAATATGAGCTGGGTTAGCCGGTCGGTTCGACGTGGGTGCTTTGTTCCCTCACTCAAATCGAACGCCGTGTTGGTCGCTGGTTCAAGCCCCAGGCTGAACGATCGATTTTCACTTGCTATCGTCCAATCCGTGTGTGTCATATTCGTTATCTCCAACTTGCTAGGAATCACACGTTAAAAGGTAAGACCCCGTTAGTCCTTAGCTCGCACAAGTTTCAACTTCTGAGGGTTGTCGTTCGTAGGGATGCGACAGCTGGTTAACGAAAAAACAGATTTTAAACAGAGTTTTTAAACAGATTGAAACCGTATCCCATTGTCAGGCAACCTTGATCAGCGTTATTTTGGAATGGGTTACTCAATAGATGGCTCTTTCTGTAGAAAATTCGAATGAACATTTGCAATTTCGATGGCATAACCTCAGTGATGATACTGTCTTAGTTCTTTCTAAAAACCCTTCAAACTGTTCATCTGTCTATACAGATAGCCTAAACAATATTATCACTTGTTATGACACTTTAATTTTCTGACCTGTCACTCGTATCAAGGTTACTCATTACTCTGCCAGTTTAACTATCATTTTTTTATAGTTCCAATTCAGTCCAAACTCATGCTGATTCTATAGAAACTTGAACTATGACAACTTTTTTCTCGAAGATAGAGCTGATTTCTCTTCATTCATCTTGAAACTGTAAGCATATCATACTGTGTTTTGTAGGATATGTCTGCTTGTAGGCTCTGAAAAAACATTTGAAATTTCATTCCAAAATTATACCTATGATCTGAAAGTCTGAGGTTTTTATAGAATTTCAGTTGACTATAGTCCAGAGTCTTTGAGTGCCTATCTGGAGAGTCCTGAAGGCACTGATATTACTCATCATATAATGGTGAAATGGTAAATGATTCATAATTATTCTATATGTATATCTCTATACGTTTTCAGTGGAATAAATAAAAACAGGTGATTTAAATCGCGCTAAAAAGTGGAACAACTAGTTCCACTTTTTGCCATCATAAAATGATCAGTGGATTATTATCAGTTACAGAACCCATTTTTTCAAATGCTGTATAGAATATCCAAGTTACTACCATTGTTTTGCACAAAGTTCGCGATATGATTAGTCGACATCACTTTTTGTTTATGGAAAAAGAGAGCACAGTTTCATTCGAAATTGAGTCTTCAAGGTCAGACATCTTGGTAAATCACACTAGTAGTTTTGCGAAAGTTGCTAACCCCCCCCCCTCAAATTTTAATCTGCTATTCTAGACTGTACACACTATATTAGTAAGGAGATTTTGGAAAAGTCCAAATCTACGACAATGAAAATAGTGAAGCCATTTATTATGCCACAAAAGTCTTTTCAACGCCCCTATCGAAATTATTGTGGACCTGTCGGTGTGACAGATTTCCTACTCATTTCAAAATTTATCATTTCTTCCTTTTATCCAGAAGGGAAAAACTGAGGAAAGTTAAGACTCTGTTTCGTCTATCGGACACCTCGACTAACTTTTCTTCATAACTTATGAATTTATCAGAGAAAGATATTGGCTTTAGATAGTCTCTTTAACTATAGTTACGGAATCAAATCGTAGGATGGTAGGTACTCTCTAGGTTATTCAAGGGGTTTCAGGCCCCCAGTCCACTTGTTGCTTTGAGTTGTCAACAATCCGATAACAGAATTGTACTATCATGGTTTTACATTTCAAACTGAGAGATGATGGAGTTGACTCTAAGCTAATGCAAATGGCTATAGATCTTATCCAAAGCTCGTTGCAAACAAAGGACTCACTGTCAATCATGGCAAAATTATGATAGGATCGCATCTGTGGAACTTCACAACTTCACAACTGGAACTTATTCAACTTTTTTTGAACAAGTGAGATATCTAGGTGTGATTATCGATCAAAAACTAACTTGACACATACGCCAACCTAAGTATACTGCAAAATATTTGGAAAAGCAAGGAGATTCAAACTAAAAATGATCTATTATCATATCTAATGGTTATCAAGCGTAAGTTAACTCCTTGATATGGTGACAACCATCAGCGCAATTCCAAAGATTTGCTCATTAAGAAATATAGGAGCAACTTCTATATACCAAACCCACATTACACATTTATGTAATGAAGGAAGCAGTAAGTAATAAGCACATTTAGTATTCATCAGACAATGTATAAGAAAATGTCTAATTTGGTCAAAAAATATCATAGATTACTAACAGGACTTATAGGACACCATTCAATAGGGCAGGGGGCTCCAAACTTTTTTACCCAAGGGCCACCTTGTGAATTTTTGGGGGATAGGCGAGACAGCAATATTTCAGGGCTGAAAGTTGAGACCCTCCCCGTATATCCAGAAATTTTTTATAATATATCTTATTGCTGTGTCTGGAACCGAAGAGAAAGATGCCGCCGTTACAGTCGAGGACTTAACTATGGGAATCCTTTTGGACTCCCCGGCAAGAAGAAGCTCTAATAGCCCTTTAATTCGAACTTAGCAAGAAAGTAGTCAGAAACGGCTGGAAATTACATCATCTTCAGACCAGTGAAAATAAATTAAAACTAATAAATGTTATTCGAAATAAGGTTTTTAGAATTCATTTACAATAAATTATTGGCATGTGTCTGATGAGTACTCATTGTAGGACCGTATAAGATGGAGTTGGAATCATCGTAAACAGTGACCTCTTTTGATTGAGTGGGATGTTCTCAAGAAACATGTTCCTTGAGATAAAAAAAATTATAATTGAAGTGAATGAAGCAAAAGGCCAACCCCAAAGATACTATTGCCCCTTCCAAGGTCATATTTTTCAAAGCTAGAACGTTAACCTAGATTTTCCGCAAAAGATTTGACTTAGGTCTTATATCAATCAGTTTTCAAACAAATTGCTACCTGTGCTACATTGCTATGGTGGCAAAAAATTTAACAACCATTAGTGCAAAATTGGCCTGTTCTGGAATCACAGGCAATTTTTGCGTATTCTACAACTGCTTTAGAGGTAATGCTGAACCTTTCATCATTACAATGAACTGCAGCTTCAAGATTTCCTAGATAATAAACAAAAAATAAGATCTACACTGATAGCAGACAAGCCATATTAGCCTAGAACAGACAACGTGTTACCTCAGGGCTAGTACTAGAGTGCCACCAAGATTTAGCCAAAGCCTCGGTAGATAATAACATTATCCTGAGGTAGGTTTAAGGGCACGAAAGGAGTAAAGGTAATCGCATTGCCAACTCTTTAGACAAGGAAGCAGCTGGACTAAGCATTTTAGGACCCTGTGGCACCTACGGCCTGATTACTTCGACAATTGTGAAACTAGCCAAACGTCACTCCCATGCTCAATCCCTAAAGAAATGGAATGAAATCAAAAGATGCAATCTTACCAGGATCACCCTGGGCGACCCTGGGAAGTTGGCGCCGAAGAAATATCTGTCAATGACTAGGAAAAATATATGCTTCACAGTAGGATTTCTGACTGGCCAATGTCAACTAAGGAAACACCTCCATAATATGGGGCTAGTGAACACACCTCTATGCAGGATATGTGAAAGGAAGATAAAACTGTCAGGAATGTGC